TTAAAAAAAAAAAAAAAGAAAATAATGGGAGATACAGCAAGAGGGATGCACTTTGAGAGCACCGGGGGTGGAGGGAGTGGTCCTGGATCACAGACTGGGTTGGGGATCCCTGAGGGCCTCCTGGAGGAGTTGTCCTAGGATCCACATCTGGCAAGGTCGAGGGGACAGCCTGTTGGAGTAGAATCAGAGCGTGGTCAGGAGCCAAAACAAGATTGGTTAGAGTATAAAGTGAGTGGTGATTTCCTTACACTCGTTCTTGAAGCTGCATCACAAGCTCCATGTCCCTCTCCACTCACTCGGCTTCCTTATCACCTGGTAGGGAAGGCGTCCATGTGTGAGCTCGGCTCCTTGGCCAGCATGCCTCTACTGTAGGCGCCGGCGATGCCCGGGGTGGACCGAGAGCACTCGGGGCTCCAGGTCATGGGCCTGGTGGCGTGAGTCCCAGCATCACTACAAGGGTGGAGAAGTGGGGGCGTGGTCACAGTAGGTCCTAGAAGTGGGGCAGGCAGAACACGAGGGGATGCCTGGTGTAAACACAGGGAGGCCCCGGGAGGCAGGTACGCCAGCCCGTTTTGTGGACCAGAAGCTGGAGGCCGAGCAGGAAGGGCTCACGGTGGTCCCGAGCAGCCCTGCTCCTCCCTGCGAGGCCCCTGGTGCTGTGTCCCCGCGCAGACCTGGCTGGCCCTGGCTTCCATGTGTCTGACTGGCTTTCCTCCCACACAGCGAGCATGACCTCGGGGAGGACATCTATGACTGCGTCCCGTGTGAGGACGAGGGGGACGACATCTATGAGGACATTATCAAGGTGGAGGTACGGCAGCCCATGGTAAGCTATCCCTCACTCGCAGCGTGGCCCCCACTCCAAGAGCTCAGAGCCTCTGGGGGGCGGGGGGCGCTCTGTGGCAGAGGGAGCTCCCGAGGCTGCACCCCAGCCCTTCCCAGCCCCTGCGGGCTTCCTGCCCGTCCTTGGGCCCAGGCCTCCCTACGGGATGTTCCGAGGAGCCCAGGGTGTGATGCTGCTGCCCTGGGATTCTCTGGAGGGTGTGCCAGATTCCAAGTCCTTCCTGCCTGAGGAGTCTGAAAATAGCGCCTGGCTGCTCAGGCGTACGGAGCGCGCATCATTTTACTCCTTTGTGCGGAGAGCGAGGAGACCGCTGCCGGCTCAATTAGCCAGCTGTGCATCTTTTATGTGGCGAGGATATTTATTTCCCAGTCGGTGTTGGCTAATAATCTCTCGGACTCCGGTTCGCTGCCGGGTGGGCTGATGGCCAGCAGCTGCCGTGCGGAGGGTGGGGGTCCTGTCGGGCCGGGACGGGGAGGTTGGGGCCCTGGGGGGGCAGGCTACAGCCCCCTGGGTCCCCACGCTTCTGGGGGGTTGCCCAAATGCCACTTGCCAACTGTGGAGGCTTTTTATGCTGTTTGTTTTCCCTGAAGAAAGGGGGGGAGTTTCTCAAGAAGCCAATTTCAGTGTTTTCCTGTGGTGTGGGAGTAACCAGCTGGTGGTGGAGAAACAAAGCTGGGACGACGGCTCCCCAGCAAGGCCTTTCAGAGAGGCCTTTCCCGGCCTGGTGGCATCTGCCCTCCACTGGCATCTCGCCAGGAGGAGCACAGAGAAACATGGCAATGGGCTCACAGCCCCCAAACTCTCTCTTCGGGACGGAATGGGTTTCTTGTTTCGCTCCTGAAGCATCTGAGGGGTCCCCACCATTACCAGGGGCCTCTCTCTGTGACCCCAGGTCTGCCCAGGGCCAATGCTGCCCTTCCCCCAGGCAGCCTTGCAGTGGGGCAGCTCTGCCCCTGAGCCTGTCCAGGGGGCCAGTTATGGGGCTGGAAGGCCAAGCCGTTGCCCCGCTGACGGAGACCCTCTGCTTTGCCCTCCTGGAGCTGGCCTGAAAGCCCAGCCAGCCCTCTGGATTTGGGGCCACCTCACTCCCAAGCCCTTTGAAGTTGAGGGTCCTGCGGGGAAAGCGGGAGCAGTGGATGCAGTGGCCCCGGGCCCTTGTCTGGAGGTCCCCTCGCCTCCAGGCTGGAGATGCCCCTGAGAGGCTCCGTCTGTGCCTGGCCTGGTGAGACCCCAGAGTGGGCAGTCCCCAGAGCCTGCTGCTGTCCCTGGTCCTGAAGCGCACAGGGCAGGCCCCGGGCTGTTTGCAGGACCTGCGGGGGCCGTCGGGGAGACAGGCTGGCATCCTGCCTGCCCTGCTCTGCTCAGTGTCCTGACTGCGCTCTGTGCTGCTCACGAGCTGTCCTGTCAGTCTCTCAGCGTGGGCCTCCGGCCCCCTGCCCGTCCTCCAAAATAAAACAGGTTTTACTTCCTCCCCAGTAATGTCCGGGGCTATCTGAACAGTCAAAGTGGAAGGTAGATGGAGACCTTTCCAAAGGAAGATAAAGCCAGAGGACGGCAGGTGCCGCTCTCAGAGCCCACACGTGAGGAAGGGCTGGGTGCCGTCCCTCCCCATGCAGCCAGGCTGACACTCGGGCAGGCGGGCCGAGGACTGTGACAGGATCCTGGGGCTGTTGGGTAAATGCAGACAAGCATCCCTACCTCCCAAGCACAGCCCGGATAACGAGCTGACACTGCTAATTGGTTCTCTCTGTGATTTATTTCTCCACGCTTTCAGATAAGATACATGCAGGTAAGTGGCGGGTGGAGGGAGGCCCGGGTAAAGACAGCCAGCACCGTCTTCCTCCACCTCGCAGAGTGGTCTCAGATCTCTTGGAAAAAGCCTGGGACCCTGTCCCCAGCGAGATGCTGTCAGGCCCCACAGTCTTACACATGGTTTTAGGGGGATCATGGGCCCCCAACACTCCCCCCCAAAGCCCCGAGAGCAGCAGTGTAGCGCCCAGGCCACAGGGGGCTTGGGAAGGAGCCCTGGGGGACCTCCTACCTGACCCTGGCCCCCTGGGTGATGTGCCCCCTCTGACATGTTTCTGTGGAGCTCTCGGCCCCAGCAAACACCTGGGGCATTTCTTCGGGGAGGAGGATGGTGTTAGGGCAGATAGGAGTCCACATGGCATGTCACGTGGCCCAGCCCTGTTTTCCCAGAGCCTCACTTAGGGACCCATGTGGCTCGCTCAGCCTAAAAGGACGTGAGGAGAGGGTCTAGAAATCCAGAGAGACTCTGAACAGTGGCCCCACCTGCAGCTTCATCCCCCATCCCTGTGGCCACAGTCTCCTGGTCAGTCCTACCTCTGGCCACGTTCCCCTCGGAGGTGGGGAGCAGGCCCTGCCACAGTAGCGAGCCCCCGGTGGCCCCTGCCATTGAGCTGGTCCCTCAGGACCCTAAGTAGAGGCCAGGAAACCCTGGGAAAGCCCAGCCCTGCACTAATAGGTCGATGCTGGGTCAGCCCCTCTGTTGGCGGACACAGGTCCTCAGGGAGCTGGTCAGAGCCTTTCTCTGTGCACACAGTAGGCACTTTAAGCATGCCCCCCCTGCTGTCTATGCTGGAGGGGCTGGCTCCTGAGGGCCCCACACTGGTCTGGTAAAATCCTGAATAGGGTCGCAGGAGCCCAGATTCTAGAAGCTTCCGTGCTTTTCTCCAAGCTGTTGCCAGTCCTCAGGTTCATGCCCCATACACCCCCCAGTGCCTCAGTTTCCTCATCTGCAGAAGTTGGGGGAAGGGTTTGGGCCTCCTTCTGTCTCCTATCCCGCCCTCCCTGTCACCCTGGTGACCCTGCGGCCAGGCCTGGCTCACGTCTTGTGTCTTTCCTTTAGAAAATGGGCATGTCCGAGGATGACAAGAGGAATTGCTGCTTATTGGAGATTCAGGAGACCGAGGCCAAGTACTACCGGACCCTGGAGGACATCGAGAAGGTGGGTGCAGGCTCCTGCCCTCTCCCGGTGCCACTGGTCCCCTGGGGTGTGGCTGCCACCAGGCACCCCCTGCCCTCCACTCCCCACGCAGGCTGCAGGCTCCAGCCCGCCAGTGTCCTTGTGGGCTGTCACCCTCGTCCCCAGTCCCATCCCCAGCCCTCAGCCATCAGCCTGTCCCGGGACCGTCCTGAGCTTGTCTCTGCGGCTCCTTCCCGCCTAAGGGGGGCATTAGTATGTCTTCCACTCCTGATTGCACTGGGCTAAAGCTCCTGATGTATACTCTCTCCTGTAGGCTGGGCGCTAGGTTAAGCGCTTTGTGTATACCTTCTCCCCTAAGGCATTCTCTGCCCTCAGCTTCCCACTCTGTAAATTGGGGTGATAGCAATACCACCCCGTAAGTGGCTGTGAATGTCCTGCCGCCGGGACATAGGCCCCATGATGTCAGCCTGCGGCACCCCCACGGCAGACCCTGTGCCCCCCGAATGGCTGGTCAGTCCTCTCTCCCTGCTGGCCTCCCGAGCTCCTTGAGGACCACGGATGGGCCTTCTCCTGCCCCCACCCTGCTCTGGCCTCCCGTGGACACTGGCTCAAGGACATTTCCCTGTCACTTGAGAATCCTTGGTGCCAACTGCCTGTGCTTACTGGGTGAAAATTCAACGTTGTTTTTAAGGGAGAACCTCCCCGGCTCTTCTTTGTTTGTAGTGCCATGGCGGGGCTTCTGGGAGGCATCTCTTTGGATGGCAGGTTTAGGGCCGTACTCGGGTCTGAGTTGGGTGGGAAGTGTGGCCCTGTCCCCTTGGGTGATGTGCTCACTTCTCTGGCCTCAGTTTCCTGAAATGTCTCAAATAACCATTGCAGCACCCACCCTGGGTTGCAGTAGGGTTGAAGTCCAGCCTGTGGGACACCACAGAGCTTTGCCCACGTGGTGGGTGTGGGTGCTTGGCTCCATCATCCCCAGCCCCGCACTCTTCCTTGCTGTAGTCACCCCGCAGAACAAAGCCCCCATCTCCCCAGAATGCATGCATTCTCCAGCGACACCGGGCCCTGGTGGTGCTCCAGGCCTGTGTCACTGCCCCACAGAGAACCCCTGGTCCCTGCACCTTGGTGGGGTCGTCAGAGCCCCCTCCCCCACTGACGACTGTGGCCTTGAAGGGGGGTGGCACCCCCTAGGCAAGCTGACAGTGGGGACTTCCCTGTTCCAGAACTACATGACCCCCCTGAGGCTGGTGCTGAGCCCGGCGGACATGACAGCCATCTTCATCAACCTGGAGGTAAGGGTCCCAGCCCGTGGCTCAGCGTCTGCAGCCTCAGGCTCCCAGCCGGCTTGGATGTCAGGCAGGCTCCCACCTGACTGTCCCTACGGGGCCTGGGGAGCTGTGTCCCTGCCAGGTGCATGGTTGGTTGGTGCTCCAGGGTGCTTTTTGGACTGACTGGTAGGAGGGGAGTAGCCACCCTTCCCTCTGAGAACTTTGGCCTCAGGAGACAGGAGGACAAGGTTTCTGCGAGCTTCTCCAGCTTGCTGTCTGTGTTGGGGGTGTCGCTCAGACACACGTGCCCTAGGTTTAGGTTTTTGTCAGCAGCCAGAGAGAAATGTGTCCCCTCCAGCTCTTCGAGAAGGGTCCCCTACCCGCTCTGCACACGTCTGCACACAGACACAGGATGGTGATGGCCTCCAAGAGGCTCACCCTGATGTGGTCAGCAGAGCGGGGAGGGGTTGGCGGGAGGCTCCAGAAGCTGCACACTCATGAGCTCGAGGGGTGGGTGCTGGTCTCCCGGGGGAGGCTGAGCCAGACTCGGGAGGTTCTAGCGCTCTGTGCCCCCTACCTGGAGTTTGTCCTGCCGCGTGTGGTGGCCAGCACAGACGGCTTTGGACAGGGTGGGAGCCGGACCGGGGGCTGTGGGGAGCCCCGGAGTGCTGCCTGCCGGTCGCCCGGCTGCTCTGAATGTAGACAAACACCTGTCCCCACAGAGAGAGTCTGCCTCCAGAGTCCCAGACCAGGGCAGAGCGCCCCTCTGCGCCTGCACACAGCGGGAGGGTAACAAGGACGCTGGGTGGCAATAGCCACCCAGGGCCGTTGCGGTCCCATTCTGGCCCCGGGGCCTGCGCTGGGTCGGCCACCCTGTGTCCGGACAGGCCGAGCAGGTCCCCTCCTGCGCCTGGCACTGCAGCACCTTCTAGTGGGATGAGACCCTGGTGTTTGCCTGGGGATGCGTGCCTGGCACCGGGCCCCTCACACGCGTGTCCGCAATCGCACCAGGAGAGAGCGATTCAGGGGCGCGTGGCCCTTCCGGCCTGGCGCACCTGGTCATGCACTAACTGCTGGTTCTTCCCAGGACCTGATCAAGGTGCATCACAGCTTTCTGCGGGCCATCGACGTGTCTATGATGGCGGGGGGCAGCACTCTGGCCAAGGTCTTCCTCGATTTCAAGGAAAGGTGAGTGGCAGGCCCGCCTTGCCCATCCCTCCCCGTCTGCGGGGCCTCAGGTTCTGCCCTGGGGACGGGGCCGAGCTGGCCAGTTGGGATTTACTCGGGTGTGAGTCTCATGGTGAGGTCCTCGAGGGCCGTGGCTGTGCCCCCGCGAACCCCTGTCCTCACTTGTAAACCGAGAGAGCTACCCACCCTTCCCACCATCACAGCCTGGAGGGGTGACCTCCCCCCGCAGCAGGGTCTGGATGGGCGGAGGCCTCCACCAGCTCCCTCTGCCTCTGTGCCCAGGGGTGTTGGTGGCCCAAGGGCGTTCTCACCAGCACGGTGCACCTCCTGTGTATGTGCCCGCCCCACGGGCATCCCACACCTGGGAGAGGCTGCCCCCCAAGCTCTAGGCCTGGCTGGGGTGGGGGCACGTGGCAGCCGCTTAAAGACAGGCCAAACCCGCCCCTGCAGGGCTGAGTACGGCGCTTCCAGGGCTCTAGGCTTCCAGGGTTGAGGCCACTTCCCTGCTTCCTTGTCTGCATCTGTCACAGGACCTTGACTTCCTAATCCGTCCCTTAGGGACCAGGATGGCATCTGTGCCACGTGGTGCCACCAGGTTCTTGTCTGTGCCACCGAAACAGCTTTTCTGTGTCCACTGAAGGGCTTCGGTGGCCGGGCGGGCGGAGGGCCTGGGCCAGGTGGACGGGCTAGAGGGCACACAGCGGCAGGACCGCCCTGGCATAACGCAGCCCCAGCCCCCAGTGTGGGGAGACAACGCTTCCAGTGCCAAGGAGGGCGGTCCTGGACCCTCCGATCGTGCCCCGGGTTCCTCCATGTCTCTGTGGCATCGGGGCCAATGTCCACGAAGCCCGAGGGGGCGTAGATTCTACGCATCAGGCGGCCTCTCTCCTCCCCCCGGCGCCCAGCTGGTCAGGCCGAGTCTAGACGCACAGATGGCGCTGGCCTGCCTACGGCCAGAAATGCGCCTGCAGGAATCGTGCCCCTGAATGCAGCTCCTCCGACCGTCCGGGCCCCTCGTCCAGAACAGGTGCTGTCGGTGGAGGAGGGTGACAGCTCATTAGAAACCAACACAGGGTCCTTTTTAAAGAAGAGTCACATCGCTGTTAGGAGGCCTCTGTGACTCTTTGGTTGTTGGCTTTAAGCTCCTCTGCCTGTAACTGTGGTGGGTGGAGGGGTACGGAGCCGCCTTCTGTGCCCCAAAATGTTCTGCCGGAGCCCGGCAGGGGAGGACTGGGGTTCTGGAAGCTTTTAAGTAGGTGCGAGGGGCAGCTGTCAGGACGGCTCTGCCGTCTCCACCAAGGCCTTGGCCCCCGAATTCCTTCATGGAGCCTGGGCAGCCGCGTCTTTAAAGCTGGGGACAAAGTCTGATGACGTGAGGGCCCGGCCGGATGCCCGGTGCTGCCGGAGGACAGCGGTCCAGCCACTGAAGTCTCAAGAGGTCCATCGGGAGATGATGCCCTGCCTTCTGTCCTTCGGGCTTTGGAGAGGCGCCGGAAGGTTCTGTCTTGACGGCTCTTCTGGCCAGCTACTCATCAGAGCCAGCTGGGAGCTCGTTAAGATTGCCAGTTCTGGGGTCCATTCTGCCGGGTGGGAGGGGGAGGCCCCCAGCAGCTGGTTGGGAGCCTGGGTCCAGCTCGTCCTCATCTGCGGGGAGACTGTCAGGTGACCGTCAACTCGGATCATGCGCCCTCCCGGCCAGGCAGCCCATCCCCGGGCTGGATTCCAGGTGCCCCTGCCTACGAGCCCCTGAAGGGGCTTCCCCTGCGTGCCCTGTGACCCAGGCAGGGACCCCTGAGCCTGCTTTCTAGGGGCCATGGGCTGGGCATCAGTAGGGAGGCGTGAGGGAGCAGGAAGTGCCCGACGCAGGGGGCAGATGTGAGTCCGCTGGTGGGCCCCAGGGGCGGGGGGAAGGCCGGCTCCCTTACCCGCCCCCTGCCCCAGCAATTCCTCTTACCTGGCTGCGAGCCCGTGTGGGGGGGAGCCAACTCAGGCTGGAGCTGTCAGATGCCCCCTCGCCCCAGTGGCGGCCCATCGCATGCTTCTCCTCCATCCTGGGGAGCCCAAGCAGGGCTGCTTCTGAGGCCCGTGGACCCACCCCCGGGGCAGTAGCGGCAGGCCGCGTGGCCAGGGGACAGACGGACGACCTGCCCTTCCCTGGGAACCTCCGTGTCCCGGGCCTGCCCTAACAAGGGCACTGGCCTCTGCACACAGCTTTGGGCCTCACCTGGCTCTCAGGCCTTGCTCCCGCTGGGATGACCATTGTTTCTGCCCAGCAAGGCCTCAGGGGCCGGACCCTCGAGTTGGGGGCCACTTGGGGAGGGGCCTGGCTACATCCCATTGGAGTTCATGTGCCCAGTCCCTTAGTCTGTCCCTGCGTCCATCTTTTCTGCCCCTTTGCCTTCTTATTTCTGAGTCCGCACCTACGGCCCTGCGGTTCATTTACGTACCGATTCCACAAGCATTTATAGGGTGCCCCCACTGTGTCAGAACAGCCTCGGCTCTCACTGGGCAGGGAGGGACAGGAAGGGACAGGAAGCAAGTTCACAAAGGAAACGAGAGGATGGGAAGAGGGAGAGGAACAGGGTGCTGAGGACCAAGGTGAGAGGCAGCGAGCAGGACTGTTTGGGAAGCTGCAGAGGCCAGAGGAGCAAGCGTGAATCGGTCAAGAGGAGATTGTCTAAAGCCTGGCTTGAGGCTTCTGCAGGAGGCTGGAAAGCCGAGTTTAGATTTTTTTTTATAAGGGCAGGAGGAAGCCACTGAGGAATTCTCGTGGCAAGATCCTGACAGCTCATCACAGATGGAGGCTTGAGTAGCATCCAAGTGTGGTATGACCAGTGCCAAGTGGCAGAAGACAATCACCTCCCTCTTTTTGGAGCTAATACTTCCATTAATACAGCCTCAGTCCTCAGACAAGGCAGATGCTCCTCTTAACCTTGGCCTGAGGGTATAAGTCCCGCGCAGTGGGAAGTGGAACTTGGGGAAGATTTGCATTTTGCAGATGTGGATGTAACAAAGAGCCACGTGGTTTTTATCTGTGGCTGGGGTTGGCCAAGCTTGGTCAGTGGGTCAGGCTAACGGACGACCAGTGGAACCGGCCACAGGGACTTTGTGGTCCAGCGAGAAGGCAGGGGTCTAGCTCTTAGCAGGAACTCCCTGGAGCTTAGCACAAGTGCTTCTAGGAAGGGCAGCCATCAGAGTGAGATGAGAGGCAAGTCCCCGCCCGCCCGAGGACTCAGGAGTGTTTAGAGAGAAGGGCTTTGCCACAGCTGAGCACTCTGTGCTCTGTGCTTTCCAGCTGCTCAGGGTGTCGGGCTGGGTGATGCTGCCCTCTGGTTGCGGCTCCCGTCCGCGGGCCGGGGTCTCGGGGAAGCTGGGTGATCCCCGTCAATGCTTGCAGGAAGAGAGCCCACCCATATCCAGGCTCCTTGAGCCCCTGTGAGGTTCTGCACGGAGGCCTTCTCTGGCAGGGCTGCCTGGGACCCTCTGACCTGAGAGGGCTTTGGCCCCGCTCCTCCCAAGCCTCCTTGCCCACATGGGGAAATCGGGGATTGGAACAGCTTTGGCGACTTGGCCGCGGTCCCGGCTCTGTCCCGTGTCGTCCGTGCATACCCAGCAGCGCCGCCTGTGTCCGGTCCCCGGGCACCGTGAGAGTTTGGAGTTCTGTGACAGGAGACGGGCAGGTCGTGCCCCCCCATAGATGCACATATGCCCCCCTGCAGTGGGGTCCGAGTTGCGTGTTCAGGAGGTTACACGACATAGTCATACAGACACACACCACGCTTGCGTCAAATACCTGCCCGCTCGTGAGGGAGGGACCCGGAGCCTGACGCCGCGCATTCGGAGGACGGAACGAGACGCTGGTGTGCCGAGCTGGTGGGGAAGGCAGGCACAGACGGGGCGGGGACACCGGACGCGCGCCACTGGGGTGTCTTCAACACGGCCGAGCGCTGCACCCCAGCAGTCTCCCACACGCGGGCAGCGAGCCAGGGCCCCGGACACCGCCTCGCCGCCTCGCCCGGGGTCCGGGTGGCCGAGGCAGCCTGTTTTTGCAGGTGCCCCACTGAGACCTCGAACCGTGAATGAAGTCCTGTGTGTGTTGCTTTGCTTCCAAAAGTTGGATAAGTTTCCTCAACGGCACAAGATGTTTGTGGCTAGAATTGAGGCCTACCAGCTCTCACTTCCTTAGCTGACTTCCCTCGCAGGCCGAGAAGGGACCGTGTGCGGCCCCTGCTGCCCGGCCCGCGGCAGGGCCCAGAGCGTGTGCTGTGGACCGGCGGGGAGAGGCCTGACGGTCCTGACAGAAACGTATCCTCTCTCAGTTCTGGGGCCGAAATCCAGTGTGGGCAGGGCGGCGCGCCCTCCGGAGGCTCTAGGGAAGGAGGCTTCCTGCTTCTGCCAGGTGCTGGTGGCCCCCAGTGTCCCTTGGTTTGTGGCCCCCTCTCCAGTCTCTGCTCGGCCCTCATGCAGCTCCTCTCCCATCTCAGGCCGCCCACGGGGCCGGCGGCGGTGAATGAGGGCTCAGCCCTGGGGTGGCCTGGGTCTCCAGCATGGGAGCCCGGAAGACTGGTCTGGGGGCCCCATGGATGCACTTAGGGGTCTGGCCTTGCTGCTCCCTTGCTGGGTGACCTTAGAAGTCATGTCACCTCTCAGAACCTCAGGGGCGCTGTCCTGGAAGTGGTGTTTTGTGAGGACAGGCTGAACTCAGGTGCGAGTGCGTCCCATGGCCCCACCTCTTTCTGTCCTTCAAGCTTTGCCCTCTTCCCCACAGGGGCCTCCTGCCTGCTGGGAATAGCGGTGTCTGCACTGCCCGTGCTCAGGCAGGCGGGGTGGGGTCTTGGCTGCTCACAGCCACATGTCAGGCCTCTGAGCAGGCCAGGCCTCCAGGCTGGATGCTGGGATGTGGGGACAGATGAGACCCATCCCTGGAGCTTAGAGCAGGTGGAGAGGGGGCTGGCCCGCTTCTGCCTCGCGCTTGGCTTTGGACGGGTCTGTGCCCAGAGGCTCCCCGCCTGTCCCCTTGCTTTTCTGTCTCGCCCCCACTAAACCCGGGGACAAGGTTGGGAGGGGAAAGGAGGCAGGGCTAAAAATGATGGGGCAGGGTTTTGAGGGATGAATAGAAGTTTGCTGGCCAGAGAAGGTTGCAAGTGCAGTGTGGGGCTCCTGCGTGTGCTGTGAGGAAAGCAGGATTGGGACCCACTCTCCATACACCCTGTCTGCCAAAAACCTTGGGCCGAGATGAGCCAGGGTGTGCTGAGGTGAAGGGGGGACCCCAAAGGCTGGCTTGGCCTGCTCCAGAGCTGCGGGCCCCAGATGCTTAGGAGAAGTGCTCTCGCTGGTCACATGGACTTCCGTGGGAGCGGCTGGGCCATCACCAAGAGGTCTGCTCATTCAAAACAACTTGACAGGAACCTTGGAGTCTCCAGTCCCCCAGGTGCTCCCAGAGATGATGAGATTTAATCAGTTTTTATACTAAAAATTTCAATTTAATAACAGACTCATTTAAGTGGAAACCAGGGCTCAGGTTCTCATGCAGAGTGGTGCCTGGTTGGGGTGTGGCAGGGCGCGGCCGTGGCGCCTTCTACTTGACAGTGGCGGGGAAGGTGGGCTTCTGTGTGAGGCCGGGGACCGGATCCGCCTCTCGCTGGAGTCCTAGAATCTCAGCCTCTCGATGCTGGAAGCTTCCCTGCAGGCTGGCACCGGCGAAAAGCCTCCGGGCGGCTGGAGAGTGTGGCAGCAGCTCGGCCGGGCGTGCAGGCTGGGGAGGCTCCGAGCACACACAGGCCCAGTGCAGCTTGGACGCTGGGCGGGAGCCGGGAGATGCTTCACGATGTGTTGTCTGTGCCCACCTCGGGGCCGCTCTGAAGTCACAGGCTTGCTGGGTTGAAAACATGTTCGGAGCATACTGCTTTATTCCTCCAGAGTTGGGAGGAATGTGGGTGTTGTCTGTCCCCAACGCCCCCGGGCCCTACAGCGGGAGCCAGGGGAGTACCCCAGGCCAGGATGCTTCTCAAGAGCCCGCCTCCTCGGAAGCCCAGCCAGCTCCAGGCCCAGCCACCTGCCCCTCACCCCTCGCCAGGTGCCCGTGGGGAAGCAGTGTCCACGGAGGACAGAGATGTGGTCCTGACACATCTGGACTCATCTCAGAGGCTGTCTCCAGCTCCCAGAGCCGGGCAGGAGGGGCCTCCAGACGTTTGCTGTCCTGCAGCCCTGCAGGGTGTCACTGGAGGCCTTGGACAGGGCCCAGCCTCCCGAAGAAGCTACCTTGGCGGCCAGGCCCTCACCTGTTCTCAGCTGGTGTCTCTTAGCAAGCTCACTGGGGCCTCAGTTCCCTGCCTGAAGAATGGGGCTAATTGCCCCTCCCTTTGTAAGTGGGTGAAGGACTCATGATGGTGTGCGTGAAGCACTGGGCAGGAGTGGCTCCCAGAGGTGCTGGCTGTGGGCGGCATGCTTGTTGTTACCTTGGTCCTCCTGGGGCCGACTCCGTAGTCGTGGGATGAGGTTTTCAAAGATGAAGTGTCAGGCTAGTGACCCAAGGCCTGGAGAGCATTGGGCTCCTGGTGCCAGGGGCTCGGTCTGCGAAGTCTGTGGTTGGCCATAGTGTTAGAGGGTGTCGGGCAGGAGAGCATGGCCTGAGGCTGCTCCCAGCACCCCCAGGCCCACGTGGCCACGTCCATCCCCTGGCTGTGCAGCATTCAGGGCTGACGTCACACTGCCCTGAGAGAGGGGCTGCCTGGGACCCAGGCAGAGAGCATCAGTGTCATGTAGAAGCAACAAGGGCTGACCCCGGGGCCCCCATGCCCTGAAATGTCGGCACGGGGGCCACCACCCCAGGCAAGCGCAGAGAGCCAGGATGGGCCTCAGTGCTCAGGGCCTGCAGGCAGGAGTTGGAGCCTTCCTGGGGTGTCCCCCAGCCCTGAGGAGGTGGGGGCTTCTCTCCTGGCCAGCTTTGGCCTTTCCAAGGGGCAGGATGGAGGTGGCAGTGAGAACCCCTTTCCAAACCCGGTCCTGACCTGAAATAGAACCATAGAAGGGGGACCTCCTTGGGTTTGGGGTTTGGGGAGAGTAGGGAAGCCCCTCTCCTGGCCCGTCAGTATTTTGGGAGGGGAGAAGGCAGCCACACGGAAAGAACAGAACCACGATGCCGGTTAACGAGTGAGGAGCTATCACGGGGAGAGACCCGTTTGCCGTGTGCTTGCCGCGCCCTCCATGGGGAACTGAAGCGCGGCCCCCAGAGCTGCAGGGTCTCATAAGCTGTGTGCACGTGCACTCACTGTCCAGGCTCCTGATCTACGGGGAATACTGCAGCCACATGGAGCACGCTCAGAACACGCTGAACCAGCTCCTCGCCAGCCGGGAAGACTTCAGACAGAAGGTCGAGGTAATGGGGGCTTCCCGGCTGGTCCCCCGTTCACCGAACCCTTGCTTGTCCATTTTGTGGAAAGGTGGACCCCAGGGTAGCAATGGGATGGTTTCTGTAGATGTTTTTCTCGATGATTTTTTCCCCTTTGCAGGGAGGCATGTGCAGGTCACTGTCCCAGGCCCGAGTCCCCTGGGTGCATCTGACTCCTGGGCCAGATTCAGCTCAGCAAGGGGCTATGACCTTGGTCTTCACAGACCCCATAGGGACCCCAGATGATGGACGTTTGCTGGGAGCCAAAGAGCCTCCCTCCCGTCACTATCCCCACCCCTCGCTCAGGGCCAATCTCTGGCACTTGTCCAATTGCGCATGTGGGCCCCTCTCCAGGACCCCTTCCTCATCCTCCTTGTCGGGGGCAACTGAGCTGCTCCCCGAGGTTGGGATTCCTGTGTTGTATTTGGCCAATCAAACCCTTTCCAGAGTGAATCCTGGTGCAGGGGCCCTCTTTTCTAGCAATGCTGGGAGGCATGTCCCCAGGAGATGCATGATGCCCCTCTGTGTCTGGGAAATGTCCTGAGGGTGGCCCTGCCTTGGTATGAGCAGGCTTCCCTGAGGGTCTCTAGGCAGGCCAGGGCTGGCTCCGAATACCAGAGCCCTTGGTGCCCACTGCAGACTCTCAGGGCTACAAAGTGGCAGCGGGACGCTGCTGGGAAGCCCACCCCTTGCACGCAACTGGTTTGGGAAGGGTCTGTGGGAGACACTGCCCGTTTGGGGAGCCGGGCCACTGAAGGACCGGACACCTGGGCCCCAGTTCAGGGCTGAGGTCTGCCCACCCCCGCCACCGCCCTGGGTGCGGGATGGGAGTGTTGGGGCCCAGCAGCCCTGGCGAGGGTCTCCATCCCCTTCTGCTCGCCTGTTGCCCAGGAATGCACGCTGAAGGTCCAGGACGGGAAGTTTAAGCTTCAAGACCTGCTCGTGGTCCCCATGCAGAGAGTGCTCAAATACCACCTCCTCCTGAAGGTGAGGCCATGCGTGTGTCCCGTGGCCGCCACCGGAGAGCGGGATGGAGGCCCGGCTGCCTCTAGCGGTGTGGACGGGGCCCAGATGCACCGGAGTGGGAGACAGACAGCAAATCTGTTCTCACAGCCTGTGTGGCGTATATCAGGAATGTTTATCAGGAAATGGACAAAGGGAATTTGGGGCTGAAATCCGTAAGAGCCAAAAACTTGAGAGACAGAAATGTGTCCCCAGACCAGGAGTAAGAGTAGCCTGGAGTGGGTCCCTTAACCCAGTCTCTGAGCTTCCTGGTAGGCATGGTAGAAGTGGAAGTAGGAAGTCATTCTGGACAGACAGATCTGGGGAGAGAGAGTGGTTTCCATGTGGCGTGAGGCTCTTCGGTGAATCTACCTGTCACCCGTTAGCTTGGAGCCTTGCTTCATGCTGCTTTGAAGTGCTTCCCATTACCCAGCAGGTTCGGGGACACTCCATCTCGAAGCAGTGTGTCCCCTGGGCGAGGGCTTGCTGTCTGTGCTGGGTTGGTCAGCTGAGCCAGAGCCTGGCCTGGTGGTTGGGGGCTTGGTCCTGACGGTCTGGCTCTGGGCCCACACCCTGTGCCTGGTGGGGGCAAGGACGGAGGCCAGCATCCCCACGTGGTGACCCGGGACTCCTCTCTCGCACGTGCAGGAACTTCTGAGCCATTCCACCGATCGGCCCGAGAGACAGCAGCTCAAAGAAGCTCTAGAAGCCATGCAGGTGGGTTGCTAAACTGAGGCAGGGGAGGGCCGAGCCAGTGTGGGGCCTCACATACCAAGTCTGCATGCTTTGACCGGAATTGGGCTCGCCAACAAGCCTTGTTCTGTGACCATAGATGCAGCTTTTCCTGGGAAGACAACAGGCCGAGCAGGGACGGGGTGGTGGGTGGGAGCCACCCCAGGACAGAGAAGGTGGGTGGAGGGGGCTTTAGGCACTCGCCCCAATCGTCCAGAATCCCTAACCTCGCCTGACCCATGGCGACTTCCCTGGGTCTCCCTTCCTCCTGCTTCCCTGGCCGTCCACCAGGGCTCTTGCCAGGTCCCAGGCGCTGGACTCAGTCTGGGCCATCTGGCCCCATACTGCCCACTGCTCAGGCCTACAGCTTTTGCTTCTGAAATGTCCTCCCCACTCAGCCATGCTGCCTCCTCTCCCCTCTTCCCTATGTCCATTGGAAGCCCACTGTGCAGGTAAGTCCCTGGAAGGAGAACTCAGCTCGTGCCCTCCCCTTGCTCTGAAGCCTTCTGTGCCTCCCCACTGCCCCTGAGTCGGGCTCCGGCTCCCCTCCTGGCACACAGATACCCAGGTGCCTGGCTTTGCAGCTGTCTTTTCCACTAATGCCCTAAATTCCAGGCAAGCTTGGTCACCCCCATGCTCCTGTATGTGCTCCATCCTTTCTTGTCTCTGTTGGCTCAGGCTGGACCTCCTCCTTGTCACTTGGCTGTGTCCTGCACATCCTTGGTCTTTGCAAGGTGACATTTCCCAGGATTGTCCCCCCCCTTGGGGATGGTTGTGCTGGGGTAATGCCGTCACCCCTTTGTGCCCATTGCTCCCTGATCATGGTCATCTGTGTCCCCAGCCGAGCACAATGCCCAGCATGGGGTAGATCCCCTCAGCGCTGCAGCTGGGCAGGGGGACGACAGTGTCCCCAGCACCTCCCAGGGTGAGTGCTGACCTCTGTACCCTCTTGGATGAGCTCCTTCCAGAGGGCAGGGGTCCGTCTCCGTCTGTGGCTTCGAGCCCATCACCTGGCCCTTGGGTGGTCTGTGCTGGGGGAGCATCACTGATGAGCCAGGCCCATCCTGGAACGTTTCTGCCTCAGATTCTGCCCCACCAGTGGGCTCCTTATAGGAATGGGCAGGAGGTGCTGGAGGGGGAGGCTGGAACCGGCTCCCCACCTTGGCCTGGCTCAGGGATTCCACCCAAGGCAGCTTGTCCTACTGGGCAGGTCAGTGCCTCCGGCTGGGTTCTCCCGAACAAGGCTTGGGGTTCCCTAGACCCTGGCCAGTGCTGGCTGCCTGGATTGCAGCGGGCACTGCCCCCTGGTGGCCGGCAGGAGGGCAGCGGCGTGTGGACCTCCAGAGCTAGACTGCGGGGTCACCCAGTTCTGCCCGGCTCCGCGGGAGTGGGGACCCTGCCAGGGGCCCAGTTCCCTAGAGCTGAGAAGCAGGCTGGTCAGGTCTAGCTGGCTGTTTTCTTCTAGTCTGAGCTAGAAGGGGGTCGAGTGGCAGGGCAGGGAGAAGCCGTTCCAGGAGGCAGGGGCTTGGGGGGTCTCGCCCACTGACATGCGCCATTTGGGGTTGCTTTTACCTTCCCTGCCTCAGTTTACTCGTCTGTCAGATGTGGTTTCGAAGGCCTGCCGACTGTGGTGGCTGATGGCAGGTGCTCTGGAAATGTGGATGGGGATGGGGGTCGGCCCCCTGACCCCTCCCCCGCCTCCGTTGTTTTCAGGACTTAGCGATGTACATAAACGAAGTTAAACGGGACAAGGAGACCCTGAAGAAAATCAGCGAATTTCAGAGTTCTATAGAAAACTTGGTAAGTGTGGCTGATTCTCTAGAGTGGAGATTAATTAGGATCACACATACACGTTTCAGAAATTACTGCCATAATCTTGGTATTAAACGAGCAGGCGGGTGAACCTACTCTCTCCGTCTGGGTCGGGGAAGCGGGCGCAGCTGTGTACAGAGGTGGCCCGCGCGCCGAGGGGCAGGGTCTGGGGGAGGAACGGTATTGACCCCCTCCCTCCCTCCCTGGCCTGGACCCAGGACAGAAGGGCTGTGGCTCCCGAGGTGGGAGGGGGGCAGGCTCCCAAGGCTCCTTGTCCACCTGCAGCTCTGCTCTCCCCAGGAGGGTCAGTGGGGAGACGGTTTGGCCGCTCTGTCTGGGAGCGGCCCTCGGCTTTTCCCCTCCCCTCCCTCCATTAGGCAGGGCTGACGCCTCACAGGACCCTCTCCCCAGCCTGGTTCATCAGAGGCTCAGCCTTGGGGTGTTGGGTGAGCCACTGTGTCCTGCCGGGAAGAGGAGATGGGCCGTCCCAGAAAGCAGACGCTTCCTTGTCTGTTCCTTGTAGCACGTTCTCAAAGATCTGCCGAGTATTTCAACCAGGCTTTCTGTACCCCAACACTGTTGACATCTGGAGCCAGGCCATTCTCTGTTGTGGGGTCTGTGCTTGGCATTGTAGGGTGTTGAGCATCCCTGCCTGTGCACCCCACCCTCGGGGGTCCCGGACATCCCTTGAGTACAGGGCTACCCTGGCTGAGCACCACTGGGTTAGCCCCAGATACTTTTAGTGCCTGGTGGGGTCTGGGGCTGTCCGTCTCCCCCTGTGATCCTTGATGCTTTCTAAGGGCTATATGATGCAAGTTTTGGGGTTCTTAAAGTTTTTAGACATGAATCATCGTGTTCCTTAAATAACAAAAAGAACACAGTGGTGGCGAGCAGGTGTGGGCCCGCCCCGGGGGCAGGGCGCATGCTCAGCCTGGGGGTCTCTGCCGAGCCCACCAGCAGCAGGCGGAGGAGATGCGGGGCGTGGAGGCAGGCAGCCGGGCAGGGTGCTCACCCCACCGTGTGTGACGCCGGAGCTGTGCTGCTCTCAGCCTTGGACTGGCGGCTCCTGCAAAATTCGGAAAATTCAGAAAGCTGCCGAGAACTATAGTCATGGCGCCACGGGCCCAGCCCCTTTAACGTGCTGGAACATTCTCTCCTGTCCGGGTAGACCGTTTCTTTGCAAACCACGCAGGGAACGCGCCTTCTCTGAATCAGAGCAGAGGGGAGAGACAAGCCAATCTGAAATCACAGCAGACCAGAGAGGGGTTGGACTCGAAGCCTCTTCCTGTGGAGGACGCCCCGCTGGAGGCCCCCTCGCCCCGCCCGCCCTCCATCTGATAGGCCTTGTTTGTTCTCCTCGGCTTGGTTTCCCAGGGTTGGGCGTCCGGCCCTTCCTACCAGGGCCCGGCTCTGGGCTCCACACAACGGCGGCCTGTTGCCGTGACCCACGCCATCAATCGCCTCTTGTTCCCGCAGCGCTGAAGGGAGTGCTCAGCGAGGCTGGGGCAGGGCCCATCCCCCAGCCCCGTCCTCTCCTATCCCGACCTGCGCCCCAGCCAGCAACCGCAGGCTCGCTTCTCCCAGTTCTGCCTTCCATGTCCGCGGGAAGCATGCCCGCTTGGGCGCCGGCCCGCCGCCCTTGCTCTCCGTGTAGGTGCGGGGCAGCTGGGGCCCCCTCTGGCGCTGGGGCTGACCGCCTTGCCCTTTCTTTCCAGCAAGTGAAACTGGAGGAGTATGGGAGGCCGAAGATCGACGGGGAACTGAAGGTCCGGTCCATAGTCAACCACACCAAGCAAGATAGGTGAGCAGGCAGGTGGCCCCGGGCTGGGTGGCAGCCCCTTGTAGTCGGGCACCTGGTCCCTAACGGCCTGGAAACAGCTTGCCCACTCAGCCCTGTGTTCTCCTGCTTCACTCGCTTCCTTTCTGCTCAGGGACACGGTCCATGCCACGTCAGCCAGTGGCTGCCCTGCCCGTGGCACTGGGCTGGGCTAGAGGGCAGCCAGAGGCCCTGGCCTTCGAGTTCCCAGGCTCCCTGGGGCCACATGCACTCTTGGCCACATGCCTGCGAGGGAGTGCCCAGGCAGGCGACGGGGAAGTCTCCAGATGCATGGCCCCTGCTTGTTCAGAGCTCTCTATGTGCACCTGCTCTGTGCAAGGCCTGGGGCTGGGGCTGGGGCCATGGTAGATAGGGGTCCTGTCCCTCTGGGGCTCCCATCTAGTGGGGAATGGAGCATGGAGGCCTGAGGAGCCCATATGAGCCTTGAGCCCTGGGGTGGGTAGCCAAGGAGGGCTTCCTGGAGGAGTTGCATGGAGCAGCTGAGACCTGCTGGGGGGTCAGAGTTGGCAGCCGAGCCCCACAGTGGGACGGGGCCCAGGCTCGGAGAGGGAATAGCCCTGTTGCTGCCCACCCCAGGCACACGCTGGCTGTCCCAGGGCCTCGGAGCACGGGGCGCTGGGCATGCTGACGGCCACCTGGCCACACTGCTGGGCCAGGTACTTGTTCCTGTTTGACAAGGTGGTCATTGTCTGCAAGAGGAGAGGCTACAGCTACGAGTTGAAGGAGGTCATCGAGCTGCTCTTCCACAAGATGACTGACGACCCCATGAACAACAAGGACGTTAAGAAGGTGGGCCCGGGGCTGCCTGCTGGTGACGGCAGGGCCTTCTGGGGCTGAGGGAGGAGCTGCGGGGTGGCCTCGAGAGCAGGGTGAGCCGGAATGGAAGTCAGCACTGACCCCGACTGGGTGGCTCTGCTGTGTGAACGGGGCTTCCCTTCTGTCACCCTCGTGTCACTGTGCCTTCTGTGGGGGGCAGCCCACTCTGTGCCCAGCCCAGCACTTCCCTGGCCCTTTGTCTTTGAATCTTCCCTGGGGGTGGGCGTCATCCGGATCACAGCTCCTGGGTGAGGGTACCGCAGAGCGGCTCTGAAGAGAGCCAGATTGTAGACCATGGCCCCTGATTTCAGCCCACATTGCCCCCTGCAGTAAGCAAACCTTCCTTCGGACCGGGGCTCCGGGCAGGCCTGACGGTGGGTTGTTAGACGCCAATGTCCAGCCAGTGGGCCAAGGCTGCTGGGGGGTGGGGCCGGGGCTGTTGGGGGTGGGACCACAGCTGTGTAGGGTGGAGCCACGGCTCCAGGGGGTGGAACCGAGGATGCTGGGGTGTGGCTGCCACCCCCTCTGGTTCAGTCCTGCTTCAGCAGAGGCTACTGCACCCCAGGGCTTGAGCATCTATTGTGTGCATCCCTGGCTAGATTTGGGGGCCAGAAGCCAACGTGCTAAAAATCCCAGATTCTGGACTTCAGAGCTTGCAATATAGAATGCAGGTTCCACCTGGAAGGGCTATTGGGGGTGACCCACTCAACCCCGCCTGATGTCTGAAACAACTCCTGAGGCTTGGGGTCAAAGCCACAGTCCCTCCAACCCCTGGCACATCTCCTCTGGGAGGCAGAGCCTTGCCCCTGGCAGTGCCGGGTCCTGGGCTGTGGTACCCGGTGCCGGGCCAGGCTGAGTCTCTTAATGATCTGTCTCCCCCTTTTCTCCCCTCTCCTCATGCTTCCTAGTCTCATGGGAAAATGGTAAGCACCTGGGTCCTCCTCCTTTGCTTTCCTCCCCTCAGGGCCCAGCCGGCCCTTCCTTTCTGAGCCTGAGCAGCAGTGGAGACCCCGGGTGGGCCTGAGCAGGGCCAGGTTCCTGGCTTTCTTCTTCCTTCGTCCCGCTCCCTGTGCCCTCATCAGGATGGTGATGTGTATTCATGATCACAGACTGCCATTATGGAGGGTAGAAATGAAGGCCCACCTGCCTGCCCTGGTCCCACCCTCTCCCATTCCCCAGAGGTAAAGAACCACAGGCTTTTTTATAGTGAGCAGGGCTTTGGTGTATTCTCACGGTGTCCTTCTCCGCCTTCCTGTCTTCCCTCCCTCCTTCCCTCCCCCCTCCCTCACCTTCCCTCCCTCCCCCCTCCTTGTCTCTTTCCCGGTCTCCCTCCCTCCTTCCTTTCTCCCTCCATCTATTCCAACACAAATGGGCTCAGACTTTCCACACTCTTCTTCCTGGGCCCCTTCGAAAGCCCCTAGAGATGGCCTGGCCTGTGGGTGGTCAAGGCAGCTGTGGGCTGGTTCAGCTGCAGGCTCTCCCAGCCCATGGCCTTCTCCAGCCTTTGGTTGGGTTTGTTTCTGTTGTTTTACTTCAGAGCAGTGAGCTTTTTAGCCTCACATTTAGGAACTGAAAGTGGGTGGACCAGGGTGGTGGAAGGGCCCCAGGCAGTTCTGAGCACAGGCTCCCTGGGGACCCCACTCGGTCATAGACATGGCCCTGGCTGAGCCTGCAGAGAGTTCAGTTGAGGGTCCACCTTGCAGCGGGAGGGAGAGGGGTCCCATGACAACTTGTTAGAGGGGTGCGTGCACACACGTGCGTACACGCACATGCATGTGTGTGTGCAGGCACAAGTACCTGGTACACACACATACACGTGTGCACACGCAGGCACGAATGCCTGATACACATGCATGTACACACGTGCACATGCAGGCACGAGTGCCCGGTACACATGCACATACACAAGTGTGCACACGCAGGCACGAATACCCAGTACACTCACATACACACGTGTGCACATGCAGGCACGAGTGCCCGATTCACATACACACGTGCACACGCAGGCACGAATACCCAGTATACTCACATACACACGTGTGCACACGCAGGCACGAGTACCCAGTACACATGCACATACACACATGCACACGCAAGCACGAATACCCAGTACAATCACGTGCACACGCAGGCACGAGTACCTGATACACATACACACGTGCACATGCAGGCACGAGTACCCAGTACACTCACATACACACGTGTGCACACACAGGCACGAATACCCGGTACACTCACGTACACATGTGTGCACATGCAGGCACGAGTGCCCGGTACACATGCACATACACACGTGCACATGCAGGCACGAATACCCAGTATACTCACGTACACACGTGTGCACACGCAGGCACGAGTGCCTAGTACACTCACGTACACACGTGTGCACATGCAGGCACGAGTACCCAGTACACGCACGTACACATATGTGCACATGCAGGCACGAGTACCTGATACATGTACACACATGTGCACACACAGGCACGAGTACCCAGTACACTCACGTACACACGTGTGCACACGCAGGCACG